ACGCACACACACACACACACACACACACACACACGCACGCACACACACACACACGCGCACACACACGAAATTAATAAAGCAAAAAGGGCCCTGCCGCTGTCCTGCGGGAGGCGGGGAGCTTCCTCGCCCTCCCTGAAAGGCGGTCCGCAAGAGTCACTGAACCCCGAGTCCCCGCCACCCGGCACGAGGACGGAGGAGGAGGGAAGCTGAGCCAGGCCGTTGCTGGGACGGACACCGACACCCGTGAGCAGCTCGAGGCCCACCGGGCCAGGGTCCGGAACGTCCACACGTGGGCGCTCCTTCGCGTCACCGCTGAGTGTCTGACCTCATCCTCCCTGTGTCCCGCCCACGGGTGGCCGTTCCGAGCCCCTTGCGGACTGGCCAGGCTTCCCGTTCGGAGGACCAGGATTGTGTGAGACAACCTGCCTACCTTAAAATGCCAATGGGTAACGGAAGGACAGAATGGTTACAGGATGTATTTTTAAAAAATGACATTTAGCTCTTTTATCAAATTAAATCTTTTTTTAAAATTAAATCTTTATTGTTCAGATTATTACATTTGTTCTTCTTTTTTCCCCACCATAACTCCGTTCCTTCCAGTTCCCGCCCCTCCGCCCTCACTCCCCACCCACTGTCCTCATCCATAGGTGCACGATTTTTGTCCAGTCTCTTCCTGCATCTCCCACACCCCTTTCCCCCCCAAGAATAGTCAATACATTCCCTTTCTATGTCCCTGATTCTATTATGGTCACCATATTATTTATTCACTGGATTCTTAGATTCACTCGTTGATAGATGCATGTTTGTTGTTCATAATTTGTATCTTTACCTTTTTCTTCTTCTTCCTCTTCTTAAAGGACACCTTTCAGCATTTCATATAATACTGGTTTGGTAGTGCTGTACTGCTTTAGCTTTTCTTTATCTGTGAAGCTCTTTATCTGACCTTCAGTTCTGAATGATAGCTTTGCTGGGTAAAGTAATCTTGGTTGTAGGTTCTTGGTATTCATCACTTTGAATATTTCTTGCCACTCCCTTCTGGCCTGCAAAGTTTCTGTTGAGAAATCAGCTGACAGTTGTATGGGTACTCGCTTATAGGTAACTGGCTTTCTTTCTCTTGCTGCTTTTAAGATTCTCTCTTTGTCTTCTGCTCTTGGCATTTTAATTATGATGTGGCTTGGGGGGGTCCTCTTTGGATTCCTTTTGTTTGGGATTCTCTGCACTTCCTGGACCTGTAAGTCTATTTCTTTCACCAGGTAGGGGAAGTTTTCTGTCATTATTTCTTCAAATAGGTTTTCAATATCTTGCTCTCTCTCATCTTCTGGCACCCCTATAATTCTGATGTTGGTACGCTTAAAGCTGTCCCAGAGGCTTCTTACACTATCTTCGTATTTTCGGAGTCTTTTTTCATTTTCCTTTTCCGGTTGGGTGTTTTTTGCTTCTTCGCATTTCGAATCTTTGACTTGATTCTTGCGCTCCTCTGGTCTGCTGTTGGGTGTCTGTATAATATTCTTTATTTCAGTCCGTGTATGCTTAATTTCTAGTTGGTCCTTTATCACAACCTCTAGGGTCTCATTAGATTTCTTGAGGGTCTCATTAAGTTTATCGGCGGTTTCTAGAAAATTATTGAAAGACCTTAAAAGTGTGGTTTTGAGCTCTATATCCTCCATTTCTGACATTTGCATCCTGTTTCTTTGTCTCCGCATTTTTTATGCTTTCTTGGTGCACCCCCTAGTGGTCGTTGTGCGCAGTCTTGTTGTAGTTAAGCCTTGATTGTTTTTGGCAAAACCCGGGGGGATTTGACCTCCAGGCTAACTGGCTATGAGAGTCAGCTGTGCCTGCAGTGGGAGAGCTTCTGTGCTGGATCTCTAGGGCGGTGCTAATCTAGCGTTTGCCTGAGGCTATCTGGCAAATGGCTCTGCGCAGGGCTTGGGCGGGATGGGACCCAGGGGATCAACAGGGCAGGCGGAGGGAGCCGTTATGGCTGCTCTCAGTTCCGTCCCTAGGGACTCTGCCTCAGAGTCCCAGCAACTGCTGCAAACCTCGGAGAGAAAGCTGCCTTCGAGTTCCGACCAAAGCGAGACAGTCCCGCTTCTCCCGTTTGAGTCTGGGTCCCTAGAGACTCGCCCGGATCTGGAGCTCAGAGTCTGAAATGCCCTCCGGATTGAAAACGACAACCGCGTCCTCCGCCGCCAGCCCGCTCAGCATGCACTCCACACCTTAGTATTTCACTTCAGCACTGCGCCTCCTCTGAGTCTGGGTATGATATTCTCTTTCCTCCTAGTTGTAGAATTTCCACGCAGCCAGCCTTCCTGTGGTTCTGGATGATGTCTGTTTCGTCTTTTAGGTGTATTTTTGATTTGGTTGTTCGAGGCAGCAATCTCCGGCGTTAACCTATGCCGCCATCTTGGTTCTCCTCAAATTAAATCTTAAAAAGAAGCAAACCATGAGGGAGCTGAGCCCTGGCCTCTGCCCCTTTTGCCCCCGCCTGACTGCCCCTTCCTGCCCTCCTGCCTGGACACTGGTGGTCCCTCAGACACTCTGTGGATCTCCAAGAGGCTGTTGAGCCTGTTAGCAAATGTAGAGGGTGGTGGTAAGGACCCAGGCTTGGGCTTAGGAAACTGCGGGAGTTCTTCTTTGTTACTATGGTGTGATCTGCGGCAAGAGAAACAAGCCGGCCACTCCCGCAGGCCTCAGGCCCACACCCGCAGGAGCAGCAGGCAGGTGCTGCCCCGCCTCATCTCCCTCGCCTGCTGGGAACGTCCCTTCTCAGGCCCTTCCATCTCGCATTGGCCGGGTATCTTGATGGACCTGCAGGGCGGAGCTGATCCCCAGGTCAGCTCCTTCATCCCCTTCTCCTCCACAGTGGCCCCTCCGTCTGCCCGTGAGTCAATGTGCTGAACACCTCACTCCCCCCCGCCCCCCCTGCATCTAGGGTGGCCAAGGACTACATGCCAGAGTCCTCAGCAGAAGTTGATGGGTGGGGTTTTCACAAGTTCAGCTGCTTCCTGGTCAAAAGGAAGGAAAGCCAGTGGGTGCGCCTCTGCTCTGCCTCCCCTTCCGCCTGAGGGTGGGTGTGCGGCCGCGGGCAGAGCAGCCACTTGCACCCCGGAGGCAGGAGGGCCAGCAGCAGACCCAGGCCCTGGGGAAACACCCTTTGTATCTCATTTGGGGATTTTTGCTTAAGGTCATTGTCAAGGCCACAGATTTGTACTTTCCAATATTCACCTTTTTCATGTTAGGAAGTGAGAGCTACGCCGCCTCTGGCCCCCAGCACCCCACCTCTGGGCTCCTCAGGGATCGCTGGCAGTGACTTGGAGATGCTCTTTGTTAATTTTCTTTTTTTTTTCTGACATGATCACCCTTCAGACCAGGAGGTGCGAACACATCCAGAGCAGCTACACTTTCTCTTTTGCCCTTTTTCAGGTGTTGGGTTCTGATTCCTGCTCGGCAATGGCCGGCCCTGCTGTCGCTCTACCTCCCAGGAATATCAGACAGCTGGCCAGGAGCAGGGACCTCTCCTAATGCGTCCATTTTCCTACGGTTACAACCAGTGCCCGCTCCTCAATGCCAAGCTTCCTGTTTTCCCTGCAGGAACCCCCACAGCATCAGGTCCAAAGCCCAGGCTGCAGGTGCACCGAGCGTATATCCTAGTGGGATAATGGGGAGGGGGTGGGGGGAGATGCAGTCACACTTTCTGAGCCCTGCGGCCCTGCTGACAGTGTAGTCCAGTGATGGCGAACCTATGACACGCGTGTCAGAGGTGACACGTGAACTCATTTTTTTTGGTTGATTTTTCTTTGTTAAATGGCATTTAAATGTATAAAATAAATATCAAAAATGTAAGTCTTTGTTTTGCTATGGTTGCAAAGATCAAAAAATTTCCATATGAGACACGGCACCAGAGTTAAGTTAGGGTTTTTCAAAATGCTGACACGCCGAGCTCAAAAGGTTCGCCGTCACTGGTCGCACGTGTCTAGTTTGGCCACCAGATGGCAGAACTGAATGTGTTTTCTCTCTCTCTCTCTCTCTCTCTCTCTCTCTCTCTCTTTTAAAGGCAGGAAGGCTGCCATTCTACGAAACCCAAGAGTGTTAAATAATTAACACCGAAGACGCCCACAAGAAAGCCCACCCCCGCTGTCTGTCCCAAGTGACAGCTGACATTTTGACACGGTTTGCTCACCACCAGGACAGGAAACCCCTGTCTTAACTTTAAGATCCCAAGGCAGGGCCTTCTGCCCTTCTGCCCCGCTGCCTCTCCGCCTGTGTGAGGGCCCTCCTGGAGCGAGGGAGGCGTGTGAGAGCAGGTAGGCACGGGCGGGAGGGAAGGCCCGCGGCCTGTGCTGTTTCTCCAGCACGTTTTCAGGGGCTCCCCTGAACGCTCCTCCTGGGTGGGTGGGCTCCTTCATTCCGTGACCAGGCGGCTCTGCGTGGGGGGGAATGAGAGAGAGCAAGGCGGGTCCAGGAGCTGCTAATCCTGGGTTTGTCCGTGGGCACGAGATACAAACCACAGGAGCGGCCTGGGACCAAGGCCCCAGCGACACCCAGTGCCCAGGTGCGGCCGCGGGCAGCCCGCGGGGAAGACGGAAGCCCCTTAAAGCCTTGTTGATTGTGAGGAATAAATGAACAGTGCGGACGCCTGCAATAGCGGCATCCACTGCGGGACCAGCTGTGTGGGGAAAGGGGGGGCAACCTCGGGCCGTGCTGCAGAGAGGCCGCTGCTTCCCTCCCTGCCAGGTCCTGCGGCGCCAAACGGCCCGGGCAGAAGGCAGCGAGCACACAGGTGGCACGCCAG